GGCTATCATTTCCTTTGTGTAGAAGTGCCATTGTCTACCACTCATGAGCAGCACCCAACATGAACGTAGACATCCGATGCCCGTACGTATCCTAACACAACGCTAATCCGACGAGAGACAACACCTTAATCTCACCTCCCATCTTCAGGTACAGGAGGTAAAGAAATGGAAAACGCCATGGGTATCTGTCTTTCTCTAGCTATGACAGGGACGGTACAAGACAGGGAAAGAAAAACGCGGATAAAATTGTATTGAAGACAACCGCACATGGCATTTGGGAAATGATGTGTAGCATGCATGAGAAAACGGCTTGATTAAGTGCGCAGGCAGGTCTATTGCCAGCTGGCGGTCGGAGCAGGTGTGGGATGTTGCGGTGGTGGAGCTGCCTCATAAGAATTGGTAGAGACGTCAACGGGAGTCTGGTGTTTTGGTGCTTCCTCTGGGGCGCTGTACGGCGGCGTTGGGGCGGAGAAGAAGCCATCGAGTTTGGGGAGCGCTTCTGGGTTGCCTGTAGGAAGCTGTTGGTTTGCAACGGGGACGACAGGTTGGGAGATCCCGTTCATGTTGGAACTGGGCTCGGATGTGAGAGCTGAGGTTTCTGGGGCAGGCGCAATTTCGGGCTGTTTGGGCGCGCCTGTGTCGCCTAGTGTCGCAGCAGTAGCATCGTGGTCGACGCCATTTGCCATGGGTGCGTCTTGATTGGGAGCAGCAGAGCCATCAGTTGCGCCTTTCCGGTAACGCAGGGTGACCATGAGGCTGTGTGGTTCCTCCTCTTCATCTGACGAATCCTCCGCCGCATCGTCTTCATCATCGTCGAGCTCCATCTGATCTGGCTCTTCCTCGTCATCATCTCCACCGTCCCAAGATGTCGCATCCTCCTCATCTTCGGAATCTACTGTCCGGTTCAGTGAGCGGCCGTTGGCGGTACCCCTGTTGGCGGCGCGGGTTGATCGGCCAGGGCCTGACTGTGGTTCCTCAGACACATCAGACCGTATGTAATCGCCAGTTGCAGGCGATGGGTGATCGGTAGCTTGTCCACTGAGTAGTGTCTCACCGTATAAGCCTGTTGCTCGAGACCGGACCTGTCGGCCGCTGGCGGTGACAGTAGGACCAGAAGGCGCAGCGGGTGTGTCGCGGCCTGACTGCCGCCCTGACCGACGTACAGATGTATTGTCCGAGTCAAAATCGTCCTCTTCATCAAACGTATATCGTTGGCGCTTGCCACGGGTGCGGCCTTCGTATAGGGAGAAACCGAGTTCTGGGCGCGTGAAAGCGTCTTTGCGCTGGCGGGTGTACTCTCGCCGCTTGCGTTTCTGCAGAGTTATTAGCACAAGACGATGTATAGAAAGAACGAGGACATACGTTTTCTGAAGCCTCGAATCGTGGCACAGCGTTGAGCATGCGCTCGCCGAGTGCCTTGGCCTCTTTGTGTCCGTCTACTTCCTCCAGCTTCGTCGCGAGCGCTCTTAGCTCATCGATTGAGCCAGCGACACTGATCCACTGTACGTTCTTGAGTTTGGGATCGCTCTCGCGGTAGATGCGAAAGTGGGTGTCGTTCTGCCCTTCGACCAGGTAGTACCGGCGCTTGTCACCATCGCGACCCCACGCTTGTACCGACAACGGGATGTTTGTATCTTGTTTGTCCTTGGTAGTGCGAGACTTGTATGCGGTATTGATCATGACCTTGACTTGCTCGTTCTGGTTGAGGCTCCAGAGGCAGAGAGAGTGGAGGAGGGTGATCTGGGCGACAGTTAGCATCTGGCGATATCAGGACAGACGGCGACTTACCCGTTCCTCTGCTGTCATTGTGTTGAAGTTGCGACCGCCACTGAGGGGGTTGCCAGTCCATTTGGTGGGCCATTGTGATTTTTGGGTTTGGATGGCCTCTTCGAGGGCGCGACCGTAGTGACCCTTCCTGTAGAACACACAACTTGTCAGCGCGTGCACTATGCCATCCGCTCTGTAAGGCCTACGCGACCGGAGAATATGTCTTTGTGAAGAGCAAAGGGGTCAGACTGACTCGACAGGTTTCTTGCGATTGAGGACGAGCCCAAGCAGGGCGCATAGTAAGCCTTCGACATCGGCGGACGGCGTCTCCTCCGCGACACCCTGTTCAATGTCTTGAGGCCCTACGTGAGGCGAACCGCGAGGAAAGGCTTCGTTGAAGCGCGACCGAAACATTACAATGAACTATAGCGCATGGCATTAGCGATGTCTGGGTGGAGGATTTATGCGCGATTGCGGTGCAATGCGGCGCGTCACGACGCGACGGACGCGTCCAACACGTACAGCAATGTCTGGATTATCCTCTGGTACGGCCTCATGCGGTGGAGAAGGCGCTCGTTTCCTTGGAGGCGGCGAGGGCGAGCGATGCTTGAAAAAGGTCAAGATTGTGCCATTCTTCTTCTTCTTTTTCTGAGGTACGGCCTTTGCAGCGCTTGCTTCCGAAACCTCGACCTCCATCTCGTCGTCGGTCGGGGGCGCAGAGGACAGCGAAGAATCGGAATCGGCCATGGTTGGTGGTGTTTGGGGGTTGATGTTGGTGGTGGTAGTTGCGGCTGCAGTTGCGGGACGAGGAGCGGAACTACGAACAGAGCACGGTTAGGCAGGCATGAGGTAATGCTACTTTCGCTAGCCCAAAGATCGACTGATTGGGTCCCTGTAATGCAGGACAATGAACACGTTCATCAGGACATCTTTGTTTGTCAAAACAAGCGTCAAAAGGTAGCAATATCAGAGCAGCGATGGGATCAGGGCAACTTCTGTAGTCTGGTAGTTTGATTCGGCTATATACGTGATGTTCGCGAAGTGCTACAGCGATATCTCAATTCGCATATGGTGAGACCACGGCCAAGGGCAGCTATCAAGTGTGCCGTCTCTTCACCCACAGCTTCCACCAGAACCTCCTGCTCACAAGTCTGATCGCATGGCTGCATCTCGCCCAACTCGTAATGCTCTTGTTAAGAAAGTCAGCGGCTTGTAAGTATCCTACCATTGTTTCTTGATGTTCTGTTCCGGGCCCAGAAGGGGGACGAGGGCACTTGTTCAAGACATGATTCGAGACACGCAATCACGATTCGAGGTGCAAGTATACTGGCGAGATTGAGTTGTGTCAGGCTTTCGTTCCTTTGATGCGCTCCACTGCGCAATGGCGGTATTCAGGTTTAGGGCGGTTGTGCTGATGTAGCCGGTAGGTCCCTTTGAGAGCGCTGATCGGGCGGGGGAACGCTCGACAAGTGGTCATGTCAATGTCGCGACTAAAGCGCGAGATCTTCCACAGATGCCCTGGTGTTGCTCATAAGCATAGGTCAGCCTCTGCCCATTCGGTCCTCCTCTTGACTTGAATAGGCGTCGCAACAGATGTCAAGTAGATGAAAGGAAGGCGACACCGGGTAATGTACCCCTAAGAACACTGGGAGTGTCTTCGAGTTCGCAAGCGTTACGTGTTGGCTGCAGGCGCGCCCATGTGCGTCGCGCTTTTCGTCGCAACTTCGGGCTAGTCCGCCCAGTCCTGAAGTTGCAGCGCATGTCTGTCCACTCCTTGTGGTAAACGTCCTCACGGCACCTTCCCTAGCAATGAAATCATTGCGCGATGATGTAGCGCGATCAGAAATGAATCAAATTCGTTCGTATGATTCGAGGCGGACAGGACATTTTAAAAATGAAGAAACCTAGTTTGAGCAAACAATGCGCCGAAAGAAGCCGACTGCGCAGAATACAAGCGAATGCGAGAGCGCAGTTGAAGTGGTGTTGCCTTGGCTGAGGAGAGACGCGAACTTGAGGTTGAAGTTCCAGCTGGCCGAAGAGACGGCGCTTGTCAAGTCACGTGCACGCGGTTTGTATGGCGGGGCGAGCTGGAAGGTAATCGTCTCGAGGCAGATTAGGGCATGTTGTCTCGATTTCCTGTCAGTCTTTATTGATGTCGTGAGTAATGAATGCAATACGACAAATGTTTCTTGACATGAACAGACGCTGCAAGCGTGATGAGCGGATGCTCGCAGTGCGATCGTGTGAGATGGCGAGCACATTGACTGCATATGCCAAGGTAGCTTACACTGTAGAAGGATTGCTTTCCAGCTATATCGCGTTGCTTTCAGAGGCCAGGTGATATATCGCGCTTGCCGAAAAGACCGCTTGGCCTGATAAAGGAAGGAGATTGGGTTCGCGTCCTTTATGGCTGCATATTGAAGAGTCTGGACGGCGCACTAGACAGCCAACATGCGCTTCTGTAGGTCTATCGAATGCCCATTGCTGCGCGATAGGAGAGGATCCGAACAGGAGCCTACTGCTGATTCCGGTGATTTGCTCGGTGAAGTCGGGCAGAGGATGGAGAGTAGCTAAGAAAGACGCTTCCTTGGTACGGTGGCGAGGGTGAAACTCAGCATCCATGAGACGGAGCCTGATTGCGCAAACCATGACGGAGGCTGCCAGGAATAGAACGGTGCTCAATGTATGGCAAGACGGGTGAAACGGGGGGCATGCCTACAAAAGGCGATAGTGGAGGGGTTGGCTGTGGTGAGTAGATGGGGCGGCGGCGGAAGCATTAGGGCGGCAAACCCCGGAATAGCGACATGTCGTCCCGCTGTGTCACGACTGGCTGGGCCGCGTCTTTGGGCGACGCTGATCGCCGTTGGAGGGCACCCAGACGGTCTGTGGTTTCTGGAATAATGGGTCAGGGTCGCGCCTGCTTAGCCTGCTGCTGTATATTGACACGCGTTGGCTCTCAACTTTTGCCGTAGGACGCCCGCCATTGCGAACTCTCCCTCCTGACTTGTATTATCTCGTGGCATCCATTCCTCTTCTTATCCATTCCTCTGTTCCTTACTTTGCACCACTTGGTCTCTGTCGCCGGGTGTTGATCGTCCCGCGCCTGCCTCCCTGGTGGTATCGATAGCTGTACCCTGCACACGGCCCATATCTTGTTACGCACGCCGCAGCCCCCTCGTCATTCTGCTGCTTGCACACTTCCCTACGACACCCACGCACACCGCACCGCAATCATGAACATCAACAAGAAATTCGACCGCCTGAAGCAATGGACCAACGAGAAGATGGGCGCAGAGGCCCGCACTGGTCTCTCCGACGAGTTCAAGGCGCTCGAAGTGGAAATGAACTTGCGTCATGAGGGTATGCACGAATCCGCGCCCTGCAGCAGCTCCAGCCTCGCATACTGACACTTTTCCAGGCATGGACAAGATGCACGGCGCAATGGCTGTCTACGTCAAGTCGCTCTCCAAGCGCGCGGAGGGCGCCGACAAGGAGAAGCAGCTACCAGGTGGCCATCTGGGTTCCTCCATGGTGACCCACGGCGAGGACTTTGAGCCCGACTCGGAGTTTGGCAATTGCCTGTCTTGTGCGTTTCCACGCCAATCGTACCTGTCTGCGTACTAACTATCAGCAGCACTGGGTCGAGCAAACGAACGTCTGGCGCGAGTACAGGAGACGTATGTCCAAGGGGCTACGTCATCATGGCTCGAGGGTCTTGAACGTTCCTTGATTCAGATGAAGGAGTACCAGGTACGGCGGCATCAGAACAATTGCGGGCATGGAAGCTAATTCGTCTCAGTCTACCCGCAAGAAGCTCGAGACACGCCGTCTGGCCTATGACACCTCCCTCGCCAAGATGCAGAAGACGAAGAAGGAAGACTTCCGCATGGAGGAGGAACTACGTGCCCAAAAGGCCAAATACGAGGAGACCAGCGAAGAGGTCTTCCGGAGGATGCAGGACATCAAGGAGTCCGAAGTCGACATGGTCCAGGACCTGACTGCTTTCCTCGAGGCAGAACTGAGCTACTACGACCGCTGTCGTGAGATTCTGCTCAACGTCAAGCGGGAATGGCCGGCTAGGTGAGGACATTCCGATCAGCATAAGACCTAGCACATTTCTGACACATGACACAGGGACACCAGGGCTATGCCTAGCCGCCCCGCGCGCTCCCGATCCAATACCGCACACGGCTACGCAGAGCGCTTCAACCCAGTCGAAGAAGAACCTGAGCCTGAGCCCGCTCGCATGACCATTCCTAAGCTTTCGTCCCAGCGAAGCCGCTCCCCTGGCCCCGAGCAGTCGCCCGGTGGCTACTCCCTACGCCCCTCTCTTAGCCGCACTTCGACATACGAGAACAATAACGGCTACCGAGACGACTCCCCTGCCCGCCGACTGTCCCGCGTCCCCACTGATTCCTCCGTCATATCCTCCGGCCGAACAAATCTCCGTCCAGTCCGACAAGCTAGCGCCAGCCAACAGAACACGTTTGCTGACGACTACGAAGACGATTATGCGCCAGCCAACGGAAACGGATATAGACGTGACCGTGATCGATCGCCACCTAGCCCCGACACCTCGTCATCTGTTGGCAGTGGGCGCGGCGGCGTAATGTCGCGAGCAGCGAGTTGGTCCCAGGCGGGTGAGCAGGCGACCAACGGCGGCAAGAAGGCACCTCCGCCACCACCTCCATCGAGGGCGAAGAAGCCACCGCCACCTCCGCCGCCAATGAAGCGAAGTGCGTTGAGTGAATCTCAAGTAGCACGCTACTAGCCCTTGCCATCTTCCTCTTGTCTTTCTCTTTGGCTAACAAGTTTGTCGTAGAGCTCATGTCTTCCACTGTCAGGAACACCAGCTGGTGATGCCAACATTTGACGTATCGACATGCTGTTCACGACTCGCTTGGCGGAAAATCAGGTCTGCATTCTCGACTGCAGTGCGGTCCGGCGTATATGGCGTTACATTGGAGGGAACATCAAGCACCAGTGTCGTGGCGTTTTGGAGCTGGGTGGAACTTATCACAGCGTCTACGTGTCGAGCTTCAGACGCAAGTTCAATTGTAGCAACGATGCTAGGGCTCAACCTCAATACATCTCTTAAGCAATCAAAGAAGCGAAGTGAATGTGCATGTGTACAGTCAATGAAGACTCAGGATGAGTGAGATCTTGATACGACCAGAAACATTCGTGAAGTTGAGATGAACTCGTGTCTATTTCAATCAACAGACTAGCCAGATACATACTACTCGCGTTATTCGAACACGAGCATTCTCCGTAAACACCACGCTGCATCAACCCATTAATGCTCGTACTTCTGCTGTTGAGGTGGGAAATTCCAGTTCTCCTAGACGCACATTAGCACAATTCCCTTACATTTGGTCAACCATCACAAAGACCTAAAGATGACTTACCCACTGCTGCAACCCCCCATTCGGGCTCGTAGTCCCAAACTCAGCATGATGGCCCGTATCCACCGGCACAAAAATAGCACCCGTATCCTGACCCGCACCAGCGCTCATACCACCCCAGACATCGTAATCCTCCGCCGACCCAGCACCAGCCCCACCGCCGCCGCCGCCTCCACCATTCAAGCTCCCGAGTATACTATCAAAATCGACATTCAAGCCATCCAGCGTACCAGACGTAGGCGTCCTCTGCAAATGGCCATGCATATTACTCGGCGTCTGCTGCGCGCCAAACGCGGGACTCGTTACGGAGCCGCCGAAGGAGGGGAGGGGCTGGAGAGTGGGATGTTGCTGGGGAGCAATTTGTTGGCGCTTTTTGTTGAAGCCTTTCATTACGTAGAAGGCTTCTAGGTTTTCTTTGACGGTGAAGAGGAGGTCGGAGCAGCGTTCTCGGACGCCGACGCCGTAGCAGTGTCCGAAGATGTGGTCGATGATTGTGGCCATGCGCTCTTTTCGCGGGAGGTCGGGTGTGCGGTAGAGTTCTGTGAGGAGGAGGAGGACTGCGTGGTATTGTTGGTAGGTTGTTGAGTACCAGGCCCATGCCGAGAGCGAGGGCAGTGTGTCTAGCGTTGCGCCAATTTCGAGCGTGGTCAGGGCTGCTGTGAGAAGGACGTCGCGGAGGCGGTTCTCGGATTCTGAGCGCGGTTGCAGAGAGGTTTGCGGGAGGTGCCGGTAGAGGAGCATCGAGTCGCAGCGAGACATTAAGAGAGTTGCTACGAGGCCTGCATAACGTTGGATGGGAACATTGGCGTCCAGATACTGCAGGTATTTGCTTTGAATTTGACGTTTCTTGGCCTCTACGCGGGCGCGCAGGTCGTGGAGCGTGATGTGCTTGCGGTCCATTTCGATCCTGCCGCGGAAGATAAGACGGTGGATTTCATTGCATTCGTAGCGTATTAGCGATAAAGTCACGTCTGACCAGCCAGTGGTGGAGGCAGGGTGTTGCTGCCATTTTGCACTGCCAAACTCGAAGACGTCGTCATCTACATTTAACGGGAGCGCAATGTCGAAATCGTCTGATCGAATGGATGGATGGGGCCCTTGCGCTTCGGCTGTCTTGAAGTCTAAGAAGCAGATTTGGTACCACAAGAGCGATCGAACGTGTCGCTGTAGAGGTGTTAGGCTGTTGGCTGAGCTGTGGCTCATGCGATGTATGCCTATACATTGTGCCAAGCGAACCAGAGCACCAACTACGACAGACGTCGCGCGAGATATTTGCGCTCGACAGAGGGGTATCTGTATGTGTTAGTATGCTCAAATTTCATCAAGAATGTCGTTTCAAATACCAAATAGATCGTCAAAGCTTGCAAAGTCCGTATGTTGGACGTCTTCGCCCAATTAGCACGAAGCAGTGCTCGCTCCGTAGCTTTTTGTAAGCGCAAGAACAGGTCCTCTTTCGTGATGCCAAACTGCGACTTGGCTTGCAGAGGTGATACAGAGGCCGCAGCAGCCATGCACACGGCCAATATCAAGGCAGTACATGAATTCTGGTTGGGATTCCCAATCTCGAGATTCATCCAAAAGCGGTCAAACATGCGCTTGAACGACGGAAGATGCAACACGTGCGCAAGAGGGCTGACGGCTTCCATGTATCGCTGTAGTAGTCCTTCTGCTTCCATCTTAGTCGGTAGCTGCGGTGCTTCCACATCGTTGTTCTGATGTAGAGGCAGCGAGCCACCTAGCAGCAGGTTCAGCGATGGTGCAAGGGACGGCATCTGTTCTGCGGACAGCAGAGCAGACGACTGTGTCGCTCTCTGGCCCGTGACTGATGACGACGGGGTGAAGCTCTCAGACAGAAGCTTGCCGAGCTACACAACAATTCAGTCTGCGGTCATGGAAAGGCAACGGAAACGCGGGACAAACGCGGATAGGGCAGAAAGTACCTCTTCGGCGTATTGGGGGCGGAAAAATCCGGTGACATTCTCACAAATGATCATCCTCCCGATTCGAATCGTGAGATCAGTCGCAATCTGATCTTCATCGTCATTCTCGTCTTCGTACACATCGTCCTGCGTCTCTTCAGGCTCTGCGGGCAGTCTCTCCCAGGCATCCGTTTCGGGCTCGACATCCTGCTGGTAGGCCTCCCATTCATAGTCTCGCGGAGGCGTACCAGGCGTGGTGGTGTCGACTGAGTTCGCATTCTCGTACCCATCATGCACACTGGCACTGCTCTGTGTGCGCACGGGGAGGTTCTTGGTCCAGTCCGGGATGGTGACACCAGCGCCGCTCTTACTCTGCGCGCGCTCTCTCTGCTCCCTCTCTTTCTTGCGCGCAGCGCTCTCAGGGACGGTGATGAAGACGCACTCGCGCCCGAAGGCTGTGCAGTTCTGGCAAGGGTGCGTCTTGGAGCACCGCGACTTCCGGGTGCGGCATTCAACGCAGCTGTTGATGGGGCGTGGATTTCTCCGGCGGACCACTCGAGACTGCAAGACCTGTCCTTGTTCTGGCATGTCTCGCAATCCTCATTTTCGCGCCATGTGTGGGTGAGGTTGGAAGGTGGCTGAGGTGGTGGAGTGAGCGATCGGATGTCGGCCCGTAAGGGAACCCCGATGACTTTAACACCTGTTGGTGATGATGCACGTGTTCAGCCTTGTCGCATCGTCTTGGCTCTGAGCAGGTTAGCAGACTTTTCGCCGCCTTCGGAGTCATGCAGGTACCGCCCAACAATTGATTGCTGACTGCGACCTATAGGCCGCGCTGCTGTTCAGGGCCGGCTTGAAACGAATGATGTGGGCCTTGGTGGGATGCATCTCGACCCTTAGCGCGGGGCATGCACTGTGCTGCACTCATTGCGGGCTGTGCTGACGAACACTATTGAGATGATTGTGGTATTCATGAGGCAACTCTATCAACCCGTGTAATATGAACCTGCATCTGATGCCACTCGCTTCGACGCCCAACTCCCGAATTATTGCTTCGCTCTCGCAAGACGATATCGACTATCTACCTACTTCTCTCTTCAGGCGAGCCGCAGCTGATGTAGCGGGAGGCTCGGGCCACGAGTCGACGGCATCTTCTACTTCCTCCAAGAAGGAAGTGCTATTGTGCACAGTGGTGCCGCCGAGCACGACTCGAATACCTGGCGAACTAGCATTGACTTGCGCAACCATCTTAGCTTCCTCGTATGTTGCGCCGCCGACCATGAAGACAATGATGTCCTGCGGCTTGTCCTTTGTCGATCCGCCACCCTCGACGAAAGGGTACAGCTGCTGGCTTAAGCGACCCTTGATCATGTCCTGCAACGTAGCTTCTAAGCGAGGCGAGTGCTGTGTGTAGACGTTCTCAACACCCTTCAAGCCCTTGAGTCGATCTCGGGCACCTCCGAAGAAAGACCCAGGTTGGAAAAGGTCCGGCACTCCACCTGCCGCCGTAGTCGCTTGCAGCGAGTCATGGTAGGTCAACAGCTTTGTGATGAGGTTGATGCGATGCCTTGACAGTCCACCCGCAACAGCGAGCAAGTCGAGCAGCATAGCTGTGGAGTTTGACGACGTCTTTGAGTAGCGCAACGCGTAGATGGCAACCAGCCGGAGCTTGTTGTTCGCCGGGACCTTTGGATCTTGGATGATCCTTTGCAGCGATTTGACGTCGTTGGAATGGTTGTCTGTACATGCCAGGCTCTGTTCGAGCTCACTTATGTCCAGTAGACTCTCCTCGCCAACTCGTCTGCTCAATTCGCCGACAAGTGTGACGTGCTTGGTGACGTTGCCGGAAAGCTTGCGGAACTCGGGAAAGTCCTCGATGAAGCGCTTCATATCGGCAATAGAGTCGAGCTTTTGCGATCCCTGCTGCTTTGACGCGAACTGCTCGACGTACTCTTTTGCGTTTTGCCCTAAATCACCGAAGTTCAGATACATGTTCTTCTTGAAGAACGGGTCCTGCTCCTGCGATAACACAATCTCCTTGAGCTCGGGACGTATCTCCGGCACGTCGCGTAGGTCCACCCGTCCGTTGTGTATTCCGAGCAGCTCGTGAACCATGGCCTGATACGTCCATTGCGTCAACAGCGGTGTCACCGGATCGTCTCTTCGGTCGACAATTAAAAGTATAGGCGGGGTATCTGTCTTGCGGAAGTCGAACAGTTGCTCTTCCTGTGTCATGTGATAGCGAACCTCGGTCGCCAGCTTCTTGACGAGCAGGCTGTTCTTCTGGTATCGTATCAAGGGCTTCTTCTTCAGCGACAGAAGTAAGGCCATGACTGCCTCGGTCGACCTTTGTAGCGCATCCTGGTTCCACGCATCCGGGCTCGTGCTCCATATCCGATGGTCGGGAAATCCGAGGTTGAGCGACATGAGGTCGGGATTTATGACGAGGAAGTCGGCGAAGTATTCTTGGATAGCGCGTACGACTTCGTGGTCGTCTGCTTCGGCGAGGCGCTCCAACGAGGACTTTTTGATTATATTACTGAAGTCTGTCTGCATCAGCACGCGTACGTAGCGCCGTGTTCTTCCAGGCGCGTACAGATGTTGTATTCCCCGTACTTGGGCTCTCGCAGCTCTTCGATGAGGTTCTGGATAGACTCGGGCGACGGTCGTACAAAGCATAGGCAGCGAAGATGGCGCATCTTCTCCCGCTTTGGGTTGTCGAGGCGGCTGCCGACCTGTTAGCCGTGCATTGCATCATGGATCACGAGGGTGCGGTACTCAGTGAGGTAGACTTCATGGTTGAGGAGGGCGGATTGTGTCGTCGCAGTGGATACGATGGGGACCTAAGCAGTATGAGTAACGTGTGTACAGGCACCTGGGAGAGCAGACAAACCCACAGTCTCGTTGTCGAGGAGGAGGATCTTCATCTTGGCCGCTGTGGTGCCTGTCGCAGCGCTGTCCCCGACCGACACCATCTTGGTGATGTAGCCGGAGACGGCCTGTATGATGTCCATGGTCGCGAAGGAATTAGCCGCAATCTACTGCGCGCGTGAAGTCGTGAATTAAGGGAGTCGTTGTCTCGCTCGCTCTTCCATGTCGACGCGGTTGTTCGTTGGTCAAGGCAAGCTAGGAACGTGGCTCAAGCGCGCGAGCTCAGGAACATGACAGCGCCAAGGCGAATACATCCACGACGTTTCGGAGCTTACACATCGACTTTTCAGTTACATTGCATCAACTATCCTTCGATGATCTGCCACTGCATCCTACTATTCCTCGATGTTGTTGGTCGTGTGATCACCCACAGTGGGCAGACATGTGGAGTTCCGCTGCGGGGCAGATGCGGGCAGTACCTAGGTACCTGGGCATCGTTCACTCCTATCTCATCGATGACTAGCACGCACATGTAGTCACAGTACCGGGACATGCGCAACACGAAATTCATAAGAGGCTTTGCTACCACATAATGGTTGCTTCATCGCTACAGCACTCTCGCCACGATAGTGACGGAAATCCGACACGCCTCTCTCTTACATTGTAGGGTGGTCTAGCATACGACTACTTCATGATACGTCCCTCAGCAGCTTCTTCAGCGTGCTGCCTGATGCGACCCATCGCCTTTGCCTCACCATCGATGATCTCCGGCAGCAGATCGAACACGCTCTTCTGCTTGGGAGTCCAACCGAACAGCTTGTTGGCTCGAATAGCTTTGCAGCGAGAGTTGGTGCCTAACATGTCAAAAAACGGCATATCCGAGAACACAGGATGACTCACCCCAAAGGTAGCTGCCCATTGGCCTCATCTCGTCTGCCTCCTCTTTGCTCACGTTGTCAACCCCCTCATGGTTGATGAGCTTGTTCTTGAAAGCGATCTCCCCAATCTTGGTGCCGATGTCACCCCAGCAGAACTCTCCGCTCTCTGCGAAATAGTATCCTTCTTTGTTCCAGGTCGCTTTGCCACCATCGGGCGACAAAGCGGCTGTCACAAGGGCTAGGAACACCTCGCTGAGATCTTGAACATGAACTTGAGTCCACATGTTCTTGCCGTCACCAACGACAAAACCCTTCATGCGCTTCAGTGCGGCCTTGCTCATGTCATATACCTGCACACTCTTCTGATTGTCGGGGCCACGTCCAGGGCCGTAGATACATGGTGGACAGACGATGGCAGACTGGATGTTACCTGCTGAAACATCGTTCGATCCAAGGATGATCTTGTCGACATTTCGATGGAGCGCTGAATCAGGCAGCGAAGTGACCTCACCGATCTTGTCCCAGTCGTCATAGACCTTCTCCCGCCTCATACCATAGGTGTTGGTCTCAAAGTCCTCGAAAGACAAGACACCAGTTCCAGAGGTATGGATGAGATAGGTCTTCTTTCCGCTGCGTGTGAGCCCAGTAACCAAAGCATTGGCGGAAGCCACGTGGTCGCAGTCGGCGCAATGGAGGACGATGTCTGCATTGGACGCTTCTGTAGTGAGTAGCTCGGTGTCATCAAGGGTGCCGTACACAAGACGGGTCTTTGGGTACTGCACTGCGACCTTAGCTCCCTTGTCGCTGTTTCGAACAAGTGCCGTGATCTCTAGATCTGGATAGGTGTTTGCAACTGCGTAGAGGGCATCGCCTCCGATGTAGCCAGTAGCGCCGGTGCTGCATCTAGTCAGTTTTCAAGTGCCTAGAAATGAATGCAATTGCATGTCGTCCATGTTTCATCGATGGGTAGGAACACGCATCTGAACCTACATGAAGAGCTTCGGCATGATTGGAGTTTCGATGAGATTGTGTTGAGAGGAAGTTTGTAGATGGCAAGAACACAGTCGGTACTGGTGCAGATATATGCAAAAGTTGCCAGGCTGCTGTCGCTTTGAAATCGCGTTTGCCTACAGCTCCACCTGGGCACAACTAGCAGGAACGTACGTCACAGATATGTACCGGTAGCGCGAACGTCCAATCGGTGACCACAAGGCAGGCTGCATCGCTTACCTACCTAGGTAATTTCTATGAGCCTGCGCATCTCACTGCATTTACAAAATTGCACACCCTCTTTCATGCTTCCTAATCATATTGATTGCGACGGTGGACATGGACAGTCCTGTGGTCCCGTCTTGATCCACATGTCTGGTGAGACGCCCCGCAGTGGTGCACCTTCCCCTACTCCGGAGTAGAGCTTATCCGCTACAAGCACTCGGAGCTTTATGTTCGATGAGATGGTGCAGACAGACTGGACATACCAGATGTGCACGACAGGGCGTGAGCTTGGTTAATGCATGTAGCTCCGAGGAGCTCATACCATAGCTCCTCACAATTGAGCCTCGGTAAAGTAGAGTCAACTTACGTCATCCACCTAACACTACGAACATCTATACTACTCCTTGTCCGCCGTCTGAGCATTATATTCGCGAAACGAGTAAACATCTAATCCCGTCAATTCCTCTCCAAAATGCCGCTCTGCACACTCCATCTCGTCGCCCTCCACAGCACCACACCCAACCCCATCTTAACCTTCCTGTCCACCTTAAAGTCCGCCAACATCTCACCACTCGTCATCTCACGCGTAATCCGCTGGATAATCCTCCCATCAAAGCTCTCAACCGAACACCTCCTCGCCCGAAACATCCACTGGGATCTCCTCCTCATCCTGCCCAGCACCGACGCGCTCCCATCCTCACTCTCAAAGCTCGTCCAACACCACTGGAGCGTCACAGCCGGAGTCCCCTCCAGCCTAATCCAAGACTTTGCGTCGAAGAACCAGAAGCTACTGCATCCAGACCCCAGCTCCGTACCCAAAGTCCAAGAGCAGAAGAGCAACAAAACCACTGAATCGAGCCAAAGCCTTGAACTAAGCGATGAGCTGAATGAATGGATCAAGACACTCGTTAACAGCGGCGCTAAAGAGGGAAAAGGCGCAGTATCCATGTTCAACCTCCTCGCCTTCAACCCAGGGATGAAGGAAGAATACCTTAAATACGGTGCCGCATTCGCCAAATCAATCGGCTCTAAGCACGGCGGGAACGCAAAGATCGTGGGGAACGCAACACATGTCAACGGCTCGGCGATCACCAAGGCATCAGACAGTAGTGTGGGTGCGAATGGCGAGGTGGGCGGCGGGAACGATGCTTGGGACGAGATCGCGCTGGCGCATTATCCCAGTATCTTGCATTTTAGGGATATGTTGGCGAGCGAGGATTATCAGGAGGTTAACCACAGGCATCGCGTGCCTAGTTTGAGAGATACGTGTATTCTTATGACGAGTGAGATTGCGGTTGAAGAGTTGCTGGGGCAGGGTAAAGGTGGAGCGAAGCTTTAGAATGGACTTGATGGCGTTGCGCAAGCAATGCTATCTGTAGCAGACTCACTCAAATGTGAGGCTAGAGTCAGAACACGAATTCTGGTTTGTGTCGATACTATCTGGTCTTGCGACTGCTAAGCTCCGCACAAGGCCGTACTGCTATACAGCTTCTCGAAGCTCGCACAAGCTTGTCATGTATCTTACTTAGGTTGCTTAACGTGGAGCTCGTGCCGTACTCAGTGTAGCGCCCAAATACTCGCAACCATAACGCCTGATATCTTCGCATCAGCCCCAGAGGATTCCCAGATCAACGACCCGGCTTGTCGTAAAAGTCGAACAGAGATCGCTGAAAAGAACGCCGCAGCGATCATGCCAGATACTCCAGAGCCTTCTCAGGTATCCACATCAACAAACAACTCCCGAAAAGCCAACCGTCCAATCCCCTCTCCCGGATGTCCCACCTTCTCCTTCCCACCCCTCCCCCTGCGTTTACCCCAACCCCCTCTCGCACTACCAACATCCGGCAACACCCAATTCCTCTTGTCCTGCTCCGCGACCCACTTCTCGCATAACGTCTCCGCCAGCTCGACCTTGCGCTTCCAGATGCCTTCATCTTCGCCTTTTACTTTGAGTAGAGCAGGCACTGCGCTCCTGTCCATGGGCGAGGAATCCATGACTTCGGATGTGAAACGTCGGCGCTGGAGGAGGCATTCTTCAGCACGGTTGTGTCGCTTACAACGTGAACATGCTGGGTAGGTTCGTGAACAGGGGAGGCCGGCGAGGGTGCATTGCAAACAAGAGGTTATCCAGACTGGTCGCGGCTCGTTCGGATCGGGCGTCGGAAGAGCACGTTGAGGGTCGAGATTCCAAACAGCTGTGAGGTCGTCTGTATCCGTTTGTGAGGGTGCTTCGCGAGGGTCTAGCCTGGCTGATGGCTTGCTAGGTCGAAGAGCAAATGCAGGTGGTACAAGCCGCTCCAGTGTGCGCTCTTTGCCCTGTGCCGGCGCCCAGTCCCGGCTATCGATACTGGTCGTGTCGGAATCATCGTCTCGTATCTCGAACTTCGGGGCCGGGCTGCCGAACAGATTCTTGCGGAGTGGTTTGTCGAAGATGCTCTGCCCGGAGAAGGACGTGTCGGTTGGCGATATCTCATCTTGCGGTACAGAGCGGTAGTCCGATCGCCGAGGTGGTGTAGTTGGTTCATATTCTGCCTCTTGATGGGTAGCAGTGGTGCACTCGCTTTCATCAATCTCGGCGCCCTTAATGTTCAACTTGTCAAGCCATCCCTCGATGCGATCAGGGTGTTCGACCTCCTTCTCTAGCATCTTTAACGGAACAGGCATGTCGAGGAAGCCCACGCCGATTGGAGTAGATCTTGAAGAGTTGATGATAGTCAGAGTCAAGAAGTAGTGAAGGTGACGAGGACGAGAGGATACGGTGATAATGTTTCACGGTGAAGTCGACCACGCTAGTCCGGGCGCGTCGAGGAACTGATCCATGGATACCGCATGCTCGTAGAGTGCGGGGTAACGAAAGCGGAGATGTAATCAGACATCGTATAGCGAGAGGCAGCTTGTAAGTTCATGTCTCGGTTGCGTATTTCGGCGGTCACTATTCATCTTAGCGCCGATCAACCGCTTCGAGCAAACAACCCTTCAGCCCGGATTTTGGAAGGCACCTCTCTGGAATAAGTATGGATAAGTTCTTCGACAAACTCAACACCCATGTAGGATGCTCGAAAGTCCTGGGGTTCCAAGACAGGGCTTTAGTTGGTTCGTCTGCGTTTCGAACATCCAGAAGGATGTCATGGTAGATCGAGGGTCGTAACTTCCCTGGTACCCAGGTAGTGTACCGAACGTTTGCGGATCGATGAACCTGCAGGTCAAAACGCCAAAAGAGTACGCACATGCATCGAAACCCCTATGAGTAGGGTCACTTGTGGCACACAGAAAGACCCACTCTTCGTCGTTGTCAAGTGTCGCCCGTAGATTACGTGCTGTTCCTCCTTCTGAACAATGCTCGAGCTGCTGCATCCCCAAAAAGAGCGCATCATTTCCGAGTCATCCCACACCAAAGTAACCACAAGCCCGCGCATCCGTGTGCTTATATTAAGCATCTCAAGGCCAGCAGTCTCTGTTGTGCTGCGCAGTTGCTCCCTCAAGGAGTCGATAGCTGCATTTCGTCTGAATCTGTAGCGGTTGCAACTTCGAATGCGCTTTCGACATGCTTACGCAGCATAGGATGGGAAGGTGTATCTGTCGTGCACCAGAAGGGAGGCAGTTCTGAGGAACTTCTGGCGGACATTGACGTCATCGCGACGCGTCTCGGCAATACGAGTAATGCTAGCGTGACGCGTATGATATCCCCGGTGTTAGCAGAACAACTTCAGTTTCTAACATCGATCTTTCCGAATCTACGCACATCAAATTGTACCGGTACACCAGGCTAAGTGACCCCAAAACCTAGCGCATCGTTCTGATTCAATTGCGTTATGCGAACGTTCAGTGTAATGTCATACTCCAACATGCTTTGCAAGGTTTCGTCTCACATCATCACCTATCCTACTTTCAAGCACGTCGTATCAGAAGGATGGCTCTCTCTTACTCCAGATCAGCTCTCAAACAGTCCGTTCTTTGTTCATAATGAGACACATTGTATCGCCAAAATGCGCGGTGGTCACCTCGAGGCGGCTCTTCGAGTGTCTTATTTTGTCCATGTTCGCCAGTGAGACAGTTGAAGACAATAGCGACAGTCTTTGGGGCGAAAATAGAAATGAATAGTACTAGAAGCTATTTAAGCTGGGTATAGGTGGGGTGAGTAGGTATTGTTGTCGAGGTGAAGACAGTTTCTATTGCCAAGACTCGTCCGTTTGCCCTTCACCTAGGCAACGTCAACAACTCAAAATCTCTTCGCACAAATCCTTTTCCTCTTCTCCAACAGCCTCGTCACTATCCAAAACAGCTACATACCCAGAAACCCACCACACCCACACCTACAAACAATCCCGCTCCCACCACTACCAAGATGGAAGGATATCTCCCTCAGACATACTACGAGCCGAACGGCTTCCTCAACTTCGCCCTCGACATGGGCTCAGTCATGCTCGTTTTGCTTGCTGGCTTCATAGCGGCAGAATACGGCATGACCTCCAAGTCAAGCCCAGGTAAGTCTTATCACTCATTGGTCTTTGAGTGAATGATCTGACATGACATAGCACCAGAGATCAGCATGAGCAAGACCGAGATCCGGGATCTCGTGAGCAAGGCTGTACGCGACGAAGTCAAGATGCTCGAGAGGCGCATGGCGGTGCGTGAGAGCCAGCTGGGAGAGGCCCTCGACATAGCCCACCAGCACGAAGCCCGCATTGCGGCGCTGGAAGACAGGGTCGACAAAGGTGCGAGGGAGATGGACGCCCTTCGTGCCTCAATCAACAGTCCCAAATCACCCTCCTCATCCTCCTCGCCCTCTCCC